GCAGAGCTGAATAGTTGCAACTGAGACTATATGCCTGCAAAGACAAAAATATGTACTATCTGATCCTTTACAGAAAAAATTTGCTGACTCCTGGCCTAGATTATGCTTTTAAGTATAAGAAAGTTAGACTAAGCCAGAGTCTCTCCCGTAGAATTCAAAAGGGAGAAATTTAACATACTTATGATAAATGCAAATATATGTTAATTTTTTATAAGCCCTACTTTGTTTTGTTTTAAACTCTCTATGTTTTAGTATCAAAAAGTGGAATTTTGGTAGCGAGGATTTTTGAAGAACAATGACACAGTTTCTAGCAAATTTTAAAATGTACATACACTTTAATCTAGCTATCATATTTCTAGGAATCTATTTTGAGTAATGTTATTTGAAGACACAAAGGTATAGGCATGCAGATGTTCTTTGCAGCCCTGTCTGTAAAAGCAACAAAAGACAAACAAATTTATCAAAAGAGGAATAGTTTAAGGCATCATAGTATAGCCACATAATAAATATGAAACCACTGAAAAGGATGAAGTAGCTATAGAAGTACTGATATGAAAAAGTATTGATGATATTAATGTAAAACTGTATATAGAATATACATTCCATGTGTGTATCTATAACTATACAAATATCTATACTATCACATATTCATTTTAGGACTACATATAATAATAATATTTGCTTTGGTCAAAGCTATATATCTTTAGATAAACATAAGAAGGATATTTGATGTGATACATCTCAACCTGTTAAATGTGAATTCCTCTGGCAAATATGATTTTTATCCATTTCCATTCTTTGTCCTTTGATCTTTATGAGTATGTGATTTTCAATTCAAAAGACAAGATTTTAAAAATTGGGAGCTTACGCTAAAAACTGGCTCCTTCTTAGCTCTCCTTGTTCTCATTGCATCCTCCCACAACCCACTCCCAACTATGATATGTGGTATTCCAGATGTTTGAATCACCCACTCAAGACCTGGATCCACCCTTGAGGGGGTGAACCTTTTAGATTTCGGTCTGGCTCAGAGAACTTTGGAATGTTCATTAATGTCATGTTATCCATTGTATCAAGAGATCAAGGCAACAAACATATCCTGTCTATATCTAAGGAGTCCACGTTGACTCAGGATTATCTATCTCATCACATACACGCACCTGCACACAGGGCTTCTCCCGCACAACATGTTATAATCCTTTTCCATTTTGATCTCAAAATATTCCTCCTTCTGCCCAATACCATAGCAAACTACCCAAGACAAGTGTGGGGGCATTATTAGGAGTGATGATAGGCCTTTTGGTGAAGACTTAGTCTCCTCCTTTTTTCTTGTATGGGCTCTCAACATCTGACAACGTGCACAACTGGCCCATGAACTTTGAAATGTTTCCCAATAGATCTAGGGTTTAGTCCACATCCTGACAGCATGAATACTGCATAAACACTTCACGTGTAGGATGAATACCAACCCGACATTCATCTTATAATAATCAGAGGGAAAAGGAAAAGCAAAAACAAAAGATTCTCATAGACTGCATGTTCACATTGGTTGGGCCTCTTTCATTGGTTAACCTCTTGCTTGAGAGTGAGTGGCAGGGAATTCAGTGCTCCCTACATAGTCCATATGTTTCCCTACACTGCAGCTGGGTTGGGCACATGTGACTAATTCTGGTCAACAGACTGTAAGTAGAAGTGATGAGTGTCATTTTAGGGCCAAGAGAGTTAAAAGCAGTATGCCCTTTCTGTCTCCTTTCTCATTCCAGAATCTATAGCTACAAGATGGAAGCAGCCTGAATTCCCTAGTCACCACTTGGAGGAGAGTTGCTCTGGGATCAGTACTACTCAAAGTATAATTCATGGCCCAGCAGCATCAGCATCACCTGAGAGCTCACTAGAAATGCAGAATCTTGAGCCATATTCCAGATATGCAGAATCCGAGTCTCCTGGGAGGGACCCAGGAATCTCTGCTTAAACAAACCCTCCAGGGGATTCTGATGCACACTAACTTTTGAGAACCAATGGTCTAACCTACATCAGATTATGTGCAGGTATTTTGTTAATCCACTGGAGGTTTGTTTGTTACCTAGGTACAGCCTAGCCTATCCTGACTCTTGCAGAGTACAAACATAAAATTCTGAACTTTTCTCCAACAATTGGCTCCACCTCAACAACATCTTGGGCAGAGCCCATAACTTTCTGGTCACATTCAGTCATTAAAATTCTTTCAGTTGAAAACTCCAATCTCAAATTTGATCTCATCTCCTCTTCTCCCACTCTCCACACTCCCTGCCAGGGCAAAACAGGCTCAGAGGAGTGGAATATGATGCAGCTTTGGTTCTGGTTTGATTCTGGATACATTCCCACCCCACCCCCCGCCCCCACCTCTCTTTTCGAGGCCTAACTCGTCTGGTACGGCATGGAGCAAGTGGTCCACGTGCAGTGATATGGAGTAAAGAGAAAACATCTCTTAACTGCCCACAGATGTAGTCCTTGTTCCCCTCTGCTTGTTATCTCTGTTTCTCTTTTTAATAGTGACAGGCCACTGATGTTCTCTTGGGTGGCACATGCATTTCTTTGCATGGAGCGGGGTCCTGTGGCTCCTTTTTCTGCATAGTTCCCTGATGGCTGATGTCCTGCTCTTGCCCAACACTGTTCTCCTCTCCCCTCAGCTCACAACACTGGCAGCACACCTGGGCCTTTGCTACCCTGAGCACATTAAGGAAAGGCACCCTCTTGGAGCACACCCAGCCCTGTGCCAGGTGTAAGACTTTACAGGTGAGGTGCAGACTGGACTTTAGCACCTTTTGCCCACACAGCCAGGGGACCTATCAGCCCTGAGACCATCCCACCGGCTCCTGCGGTTAGAATCCCTTTAAGCCGTGAATCTCCTATTGGTAGGATGAGAGTTTTGAGAGTCATAGGGGATACTATCAATAATTATGCTGCCACAACCAGCATAAACTGGGCCTTTTCCAAACAAGGTGGGACATATGTTTTCCCTACCTATGTGGAGTGTCACTGGGAAGAAGGCTCAAGCCCACCTACCTTCTACAGGGTCGCTTGACCAATGGAAAACTCACTTCATATGGTGGGAGTGCAACTACCCCCGACACTCCTTGTGTCTGCCCTGCCTCTTGTTTTCTTTTCCCCTGCTCAATTTGGCTCAACCACAATGACAAGTTCATTCTACATCCGCGGCAAGAGGAAAAAGAGTGGCAAGCCTAGTGGGTTCCACCTTTATGGAGGAGAGGTCATTACTTCTCGTCCTCTTGAAGCCCCGTGAAGGGGTAACTTGTAAAAACTGGAAGGGACTACAAGCAAAGGGACTCACTTTACAGTTGGATGTGCTGGGATGAAGCTCTCAAATTGAAGGGAGACCAGAAATGCAGAAAAAAACGTGGTTCATGATGATACCTAAGAACCAATGGATTAAGCTTTGCCTGAAGCTAATGCTACTTCTTGAAGTTTCAGCTGTGTGAACAAGTTCCTTTTATTGTTTAAACCAGACTGAGTCAGCTTTTCTGAGACTATAACTCAAACCATCCCTGACTGACACAGACCGCAGTGCTGCCAAGTAGCAGACCCCGAAAAGTGGAACTGGCTGAGGGCAGGAGCTGAGGTCCAAGTCAGTCAGGACGCCTCTGGCTAGCACAACAGCTGATTACCCCCGTGGCCTGTTACATATTCTTACCAAGGCCATCTGCCTAGCAAGGTTACATTAAAAGGGAAATTCGAGATCTCAGAGACTGGTTACTTCTTGCATAAATCAGTAAGGCCCATTAAGAAAGACATTAGCTCACTTCGAAACTGGCTCCTCTGATAGCAGAGAAGGAAAAAAATAGTTTGCTTAAGGTTCTGCTATAAGCACAAATGGGATGGTGGGATACGAGAAAAGAAAAAAAAAGTGGAGTCCAGAAACAGCCTGATCCACCCCCTTCCCAGACCCCTCCTTTAAGTATTTATTTTGTGGACAAAGTTAACAGTCATGTTCCTTGTGAAGGCGCAGTCAGGACTCAGAGGTAGGGAGCTGATTATCGTGACCTCCCCGCGTGCAGCATTGTTTCAGCAGCAGAGGGCAATGTGGAGGTAGAAGTCAGTGAAATGAAGGGGCGGGAGTGGCAGTGAAAGGGATGATCAGGGCTTCCAGCACTGTCCTGCAAGAGAGGCGTTCTGAAACCCAGTTATAGAAGTGACACTAGTGACAGACTTTCTGCTTCTAATTTACCATCCAATGGAATTGACCTAAAACAGATTAGAAGCCTTGAAAAACTGGAAGGGAGCTGTATTGCCTCTAAAACTCCAAGGCTGGCCAAAACAGCCTATGACCGCACCCCAACAGTGCTTCTCACACTGGCTGTGCATTAACATCACCTCGGGAGTTTTAAAATGACTGATGCCCAGGCCCCACCTAAGTCCAGTGAAGTCTGTAACTTCGGAGTGAAGTCCTGGCATTGGAGTTTTTAAACCTCCCCCAAGAGATTCGGATGTGAATTGAAAGTTGAAAAGCACGGCTTTGCACTGAAGCCAGTCCCTAGGCATCCATCTCCAACAGGAAACAGACGTTATAGGAGGTATTCACCCCAAGTAGGTTACCAGATATTTCATGTTTCCTACTCTTCTCCCAGTATTTCTCTCAACCCGTGATTTGGATCAGTTGGGAAAATAAAATCGATAGAGTCATCACAAGGAAAATACTGGTTCACCTTTTATGTAAGTGACTTCAATATTTTGAAACGCAGTGCTGGGTGAAACCATTCAATAAGCATTTTTTGTTTGATATACATGATACAATTTCTGCCAAGAGAGCTAATCACACTAATTGATCCATATATTGTATGAGGAGAACTGAAGAGGAAGGAGGAGGGGTGGTGAAGAGGACATCTTGCGATGTCAGAGAAAATATTCATTACATCACACAATTCAACAATGGAAGCAAACTACAAAAGTTAAATAAGATACATAAAGGAAAAATAAAGTTAAGGAGGACCCGGAGTGACTGGGGCTGGAGTGTGACCCATAGAAGAGGTGTCTTCCAGAGTTCCAGGGTCATTGCCCCAGCTCAGGTGCCTGCTCCCCAATCTGCCCATAGATATAACAACTTCCTTGTAGCTTCCAAGCCACTCAGGCATTCAGCTCCAGGTCGGTCATGTATTCCTGGACCCAAGCCTCAGCAGGGTCAGCACAGACCTGCCGGCCTTTTTTGATTTGGAAGCTGTGGAGAGGAGTGGAAGGATTACACACTAAGAAATCCAGCAGGGGAATCCTGGGCCCACTGTGACCCCTCCATCTTTCTCTGCCCTAGACATCGCAGGGCCTGTCGACACGCTCATAAAATTTCCCCTTAAGTTTAGGGTTCACAGACCTTCCCTCTGTCTCACATGGGGTCCCCTCGGAAAGCCAACTTCCTTCTGTCACTCTTCCCCTCTCTTCCCTCTGCCCAGGGGCAGTTCCTCCAGGAATCTTTGCAGGACCCAGACTACGTGAGAAAACACAGCAGGGACCTCCCCTGGTGTCCCGCAGTCTGTCGGGTCTCAGAGGGCTGAGTCCTCTGGGGGGTGCCTCACCCTAGACCTCCCAGTCTCCTTCCCCAGGGTTGGGCAGGAAGACTGGCCCTTACACGACACCGGGCTTGGAGCACTGGCTGCTGGTCTCATAATAGTCATCCACAAATTTGCGCGGAATCCGCCAGGAGATATAGGAGAAGCAGAAGGTAGGCGGGGTGTCAGCACCAACTGTGAGACAGGACAGACAGATCCTGAGTCATTGTTCACAAGAAAAGGCAAGCCAGCTGCTCCTCAAGGGTCAAGAAGAACTGGAAGGACACAGCACTGCTCAGGGGTGAGGATGTGGGGACAAAGGGATTCAGGAGGAAGTTGGCATTTCTTCTTTTCTTTGACATTTTTATTTCTGTGTCTCTCTTTCTTTCAGTGTTTCTCCTTCTGTTTGTTCTGGTTTTGGGTCTCCGTGTCTCTCTACAGGGAATTTAGTTTTCTGAATAAACTACTTCTGGTTCTATCTCTCACTGGGGAGTTCCATCTGGAATTCATGAGGAGAGCCACGGCCATACCACGAGGAGCCATTGGACACAGATTCTACCTCTTGTCAAAATCGCAGTTGGGCCTCCATTTTCGCATCCATAAAATGGGACTTACTCCCACTCTTTCTGCCAGAGTGGAAAATAGAATTGCTAAAACACCTAGGGAAGGAAAGTTCTCCTCAAGAAATAGTCTCTGAAGTCCCTCTGAAGTTCTCTACTTAGAGGGGCTCAAACACAAGACTTTGGCATTGTGATCCATGCTATGGCCAGAGAGTAGGGGAGCAGGGCAAGGAAGAAGGGAAGACAGACTCACACAATGTAGAGCAGGTCTGGGAACAGAGGGCTGCAGTGAGAAGCAGGACAGCGAGGGCAGCCATGGGGAACTCCATGTTGCTGGGCAGCAGAGTGTGAGCTCAGGTGGTGGCCAAGTAGAGCTGGGACTTGGGGACTTGCAGCTGCTGCTTCCTTCTGAGGTCTAAGCTATGTCTTCTCTTGGTAGGCATCCGTGGGGCATTAGAAGATGGAAACTTGGGGAGACCGAGGAGGAAATTTTTAGTCATGGTGTTGGCGTCATGCTGTGAGTAGCATAAGCCAGGAGACCGCTGGGTAGCCACAAAGGTTCAGGCTGTTTGCAAGAATGGCTTGGTTGCCTACTTGATGGGGAAATGGTTTTCATAGTGAGAGGAGGTGAGATGCTGGTGTGACCCTGAGACCAGGTTAGCTGATGCCTTCTCACAAGAGCAGACCTGTAGATCAAGCATTTCTCCCACAGATCTGAACCTTCTGATATCCACCCCAGCTGTTCCAATGGCATAGATGTGACATAGATGATAATGCCATGGAGTCTTGAGAAGCACAACCCAATGTAAAAATCACATCCTGGATGGAGACAGCAGAACTGGGGAAACCTCAGCTACAGAAGCAGCAAGCTTGAGGCTGGCCTTTCACGCTTTGGCTCATTCGTCAAACACTCACTGAATCTCTACACTATGCTGGTGTGTGTAAGGGCCTGACAACTAGCTTTTTTGATTATAACGTAAGTGCCTGACATCAAGCTTTTGATTGCTGGGAGGCATCCATTTCAAAGACATCCCTCTCGAATAAACATTTTGCCAGCTACACAACTAGATAAAGAGCCAGGTGACCCCACCCATGAATTTCGCCCTTTAGAAAGCCCTGGGTGACCTAGCTAACTGACCACTTGAATGACCCTGCTTTCCTCTTTCCACTTTTTAATTCCCACTCTTATGTTTTAAATTCACCAATAAAGAGTGAACCTGCAAAACCCTAGGCACCCCACTTGACCCCAATAAAAGTAGAACCTCAGGTCTAAGCTCTCTTCTTTTCTCTCTCTCTCTTTCTTTTTCTCTCTCTCTCCTGGCGACCCCACCGTGTGGCCCTCAGGTGTGCCGTGTACCCTCCAGGACTTGTGAGTAATAAACCAAGTCTTTTGAAAGTTCCCTAATGGTTGTTGCTGAGGTGTGTCTTGCAATCATAAGAACCAAAAGGGCCGGTGCAGTCACAACATTGGCCCTGGTGGGGGAAATGTCTGTGGGGGCTGCCACAAGTAGTACGGGCCCCGGCGAGTACCCACAGGCATTTCTAGCCCATAGCATCACTATCAATAGGCTGAGACGCCACAAAACAGCTGGTCTCTGGGTTAGCTGGGCCAACTGGGGGCTAATAGGAATGATGAGTCTTAAAATGTTGTTACCCTTTGACCAGTGATGTGCTTTGCCTGGGATCTACCCTATGGATATAAATACAAAGATGAAGAAAGTTGTATGCAAACGGTGTTTGTCACAGCTTATTTGTAACAATTAAAAGATGACTTACAGGGCCAGCCCCGTGGCTTAGCGGTTAAGTGCGCGCACTCTGCTACTGGCGGCCCAGGTTCGGATCCCGGGCGCGCACCAACGCACCGCTTCTCCGGCCATACTGAGGCCGCATCTCACATACAGCAAATAGAAGGATGTGCAACTATGACATACAACTATCTACTGGGGCTTTGGGGGGGAAAAAAGGAGGAGGATTGGCAATAGATGTTAGCTCAGAGCCGGTCTTCCTCAGCAAAAAAAGAGGAGGATTAGCATGAATGTTAGCTCAGGGCTGATCTTCCTCACAAAAAAAAAAAAAAAAGATGACCTACAATTAAATAAATTGTGGTATATTCATCTTTTGTAATAATTAGCCCTTAAAAATGGGCAAAGTAAAGAAATTTAAGAAGGAAGTCCTCATTCCTCAAAAGTCCTAGAACATTTCCTGTTTTCTTATTGTAAAGTCAAGATGGCAATCCCAGGGTTTGTCCAGCAGCTCAATGATGTCATCAAGGACTTTCTTCTTGACATATCTCCCCTTCCCCCATCATTTGCTTGGCTTTTCTTCTTTGGGCTTATCACCACATGGTTACAAAATAGCTGCTGCTGCTCAGATCACATCTTCACAAAGTTTCATCCTTGGGCATAAGAGGGAGACTCATAGGAGTAGAGAAAAAGTAATGTTACTAGTGTGTTTAATTAAAATTGGTTTTTTTACATGATTTGTAATGTGAACTGCAGATTACTCCTAAAAGTAGTAAGAGAATAAAAATGTGTTTCATTTCTGAAAGCTGTGTAGGCAGCAAGGCAAGTGCAAATAAGGATGTGGGATGTTTTCCTCTACATTCTTCCTGCCTTATTGTGGCATATATGAATTCTGAGACATAATCTGAGTGAATCTTCTTTCCTTGAAGACAGGAAAATTCTGTTACCCAAACCTAACCACTATTAACATTTTGGTTTATTTCTTTCAAGTGCATTTTTTTCTAGGTTTGTGGTAGTTCTGTTTGCTTCCTTGTTTTTTCACTTCTTTTTACTGTATGTCTGGCAGGAGGGCATTATTATAGTCATGATATGGATGTAATTTTGTACTTTTCTTATTTATACCTAACATTATGAGACCTTTCCAAATCATTACAGTATTTTTAAGAGCTGCCTCATTTATTCAACCATCAGCCTAGTGTGTTAATATTATCATGCACTATTGTAGCACATTTGGACTGGGTCCAATTTTTAATTATCATAAATAAACTGTACCAAACATCTATATGCATAAAATTTTCTCCATAAATGAGGTTATTTCCATAGGATATTTTCTTAGCTGTAGACTTTCTGGGTCAAAAAATAAGGACATTCAATGCTCGTGATATAGACACTCCCTATCCAAGGCATGTTCATTTCTGATCCCTATTGTTAAACCTAACGATGGCATATTTGAGGAACTCATGAGTGTTTGATGAATGAAATAGTGATTAAAAAGCTGACCTCAGGGCCAGCCTGGTGACGTAGTGGTTAAGTCCACACACTCCGCTTCGGTGGCCTGGGGTTTGCTGGTTTGGATCCCGGGCGCGGACCCTATGCACCACTCATCAAGCCATACTGTGGTGGCCTCCCACATAAAAAACTGAGGGAGATTGGCACAGATGTTAGCTCAGGACCAATCTTCTTCAAGCAAAAAGAGGAAGACTGTGATAGATGTTAGCTCAGGGCCAATCTTCCTCACTAGAAAAAAAGCTGACCTCATCACTCTTGTCATGCCTGTAGCCCAGGCTTCCACAATTCTGTTCTGCCCATCTGGGTCTAGATCAAACATGGCTCGGGCTATTTAAGAGTCTCTGGCATCATTATATATGTCACATCTATGCAGTCAAAACACCAGTGAAGAACGTTAGAAAAGTCTGCTCTGTGGAAGGGAAAAGGGAATGATGCAGTTCCCAGATAGATCTGTTCTCAGTAGAAGGAACCAGCTAAGCTTGGTTCCCCGGTGACAACAACTCCTGACTTCCCCCTCATTGGCTAATCATTGCCTTAGAAGTACTCAGATCAACATGATGACCAGGTCCTTTTCCCCTAGGGTGTGGTTTAAGTATGACTTGTGTGCCCAGGATGCTGTGGCATCACCATAGATGTCACCCTATGTGGTCAGAGGAGCTGCAGCAGAGCATCAGATCTGCTCTGTGGGAGGAACTGTTAATCTGTAGACCTCGCCATCTATTTATAGCTCTAACACTGACATGATCTCACCTCCTCTCACTGTCCGGAATGTTTTCACACAATCAGCCTCAACAAGTGAGAAATTGAGCTTATTTTGTATACTCTGAACCTCCATGTGACCCCAGGTACCCTGGCAGGTACAACTCATAACATGACATCATGCAACAACTTCCCCTCTGCCCATCCCCAGCTTCCAGTTCCTCATGCTCTAGAATAACCTATAAAGGGACAAGGACATGGGTTGGACCTCAGAATGATGTAAGCAGCAGCGAGTGCCCGGTCCTTTCTTGGCTTTGCTCACACTCCTCTGCCTGCGCAACATTGTTGAGGTGTCCATGGCTGCCCTCGTTGACCATCTCCTCACCACGGCCCTCAGCTCACAAGTCTTGTCTGTACCACAGGACTCCCTCAATCCTTGTCCCTTCTTCTTTTAGAGTTGTATCCCAACACTCTGGACAGACGTCTAAACCATATCACTTAAGTCCTATGACTTGAGATTCCCTAAGCGAAAGCAAAGAACTTCACAGAAGGTTTCAAAATGTCCTGGGCTGTTTGCCAAAGAGTTTTATCTATCCTAGTCTCTGGAGCTGAGAGGCAGAGGAAGGCTAGGACCTATCTTCAGTTGGGAAAATTGAGGCCTAACTCAGTCATTAACAAGATACAAATGCCAGGTCCAGTAGGTTCCTAGGATGAGCCAAATGGCAGCTTCCCTTCAGTTCCCCCAAGGAGCTCCACCCTTCAGGTGATTCACAGAAGGTGGCGTCTTGCTGGGAAATGTCTCTGTAGACCAGATGAAGTTACCCCAAAAGAGGTGGGACAAGGGCCAACTGTTCCAATACTAACTTCCCTGAAGAGGGAGCTAGAGGAAGAATAAGACGGAGGCAGAGATTCAAAACAAAAATTCAGGATAAAGAAGAAATGCTTAGCTTCCTTGCTTCCTTTTGTGCCTTACTCTGCAGCCCTGAGCAGTGACATCTCCATCAACTTCTTGCTGGCCCCCTCAGAGGGTGGAAGAAGTTGACTTGGCTTTTCTCAGGCTCTTGATTGCCACTTCCTCACAGCTAGGGCAGACGCTCCACTGCCTGCTGCTTCTCTTATTTTTCTCCAGATCCATCTCAAATTTGTTGATGATCATGGTGACACCAACATCCAGTGTTCCTACCTTTGTGTCATGTCGGTACCATTACTCCTTCCTGGACAGAGACAGAGGGCATATGGAGGAAAGACAATCCATGGGACATGGGCTGAGGAGCAGATAGGCACAGGTAGGAGGGTTTATTTCTTATTCTCTTCCCAAGATTTTTAAAATAAAATTACATATGAAATTTTGCATCTTGCTTATTAATATTTAATATTAAAAATCAAGTGTTTTCATGCTATTCTATTTGTTTAAGAGGCTGGCTAATGGTCCATCAGTGGATTTACTTTACCATTCCAATATTGTAGAGTGTGTAGCTTGGTATCAATTACTTGATCATAGATAAGCTGCACCAAACAACATTGTCCCTAAAATTTTCCCCATTTGTGAGTTCATTTCCATAGGATAGATTCTGAGAAGTAAAGTTTCTGATTCAAAGAGTATGGGCATTTTTAAGGCTGCTGACCCTCACCCCAGTATTAAATCCAGACTTCATTGGAGGTCTATGGTGAACATTTGATAAATAGACCCATTACTGGAGGGCTAATCCTTACTTTTACCTTTCTTGTACCTCCAGGCTTTCCAATTCTGCTCTTTCCA